ATGGATAGTTTTTTCCCTCTAGAAAATAGATAAGACAGAATAATGATTTGTGATAAAATTAAATGTATTGATATAAATAATCTTATTTATTTATTGTTATTTTACAGTGCGCATTCAGCCGAAGTGTGGTACGACCTACCATCCCATCAGTTGCTGTCGCTGAGAGCACTGCTGTAGATACATCCGTCGTTGTTTCCAACAATGTCGGTTTGGGTTTAGCTAACAATGGTTTGATTGGTTCGGGACTCGGATTGGCCAACACTGGCTTGATTGGCTCTGGAATTGGTTTGGCAAATACTGGCTTGATTGGCTCTGGACTCGGATTGGCCAATACTGGTGTCATCAGTACTGGTTTAGCCAATTCTGCTGTAATCGGTAACACTATATTGCCTGCTCCCACCGCTGCATTCCTGGATATCACGTCATTCTCTACTGGCGATGTTCTGCCCATCAACAGCTTCTCTCCCATCGTTCCATCTGGCCTCACCGTATTGTCCCAGAATACTATCGAGGGCCCATTGGCGGTCGTTGGACAGCTGCCGTTCTTGAGCGCTGTGGCATTTGAGGGTGCGCTGGCGTCTGAAGGCGCGGGCGCTGCTGGTTGCGGCTGCGGTACCGCCGGCAACATTGGCATCATCAAGGAGACTTTCGCTCCTATTGCAGCACCAGCTCTTGGTGGAATCGGTATCGGAGCTGCTGGCCTCGGCTTGGGCCCTGCACGCTTGCTGTAAAATGTATAAAATAGTTATTCTTCCAATAGGCGAATATTATTTTTATGCAATGACCAATAAATTGAATTATTGATAATTACTTTGTATATGAAATTATTTACCTATACCTATTTACACTAATTTTATAAATACGAAAGTATCTGTCTTTTCATAACTAAACAGCCGAAGATTTTTTTTCATATATGACGGCAAGATCAATTACATCGTTAGGGCAAAGGTTGTCTATATTTTATCTAAGAAAGCAGAAGACGCCGTTAATAAAGAGTATTACTAGCTGTCCCGGCAAACGTTGTTTTGCCTTAATATAAAAAAAAATTAGGGTTGGACTACCCCTAACATTAAGGGGGATGAAAAATAGATGTTGCCCGATTCTCAGACCTACTCAATACGCTCACAAAATTTCATGAGAATCGGTCATGCCGTTTCGAAGGAGTATGGGAACGAAAACTGTGACACGAGAATTTTATATATAAGATAATAAATCGGCTATGAAATACGTAAATTAACGTTGATGTGTTATATATTGTATTAGTTTCTATTTCCTTTTTTATCATTACATTAATACGTGATGCAAAAACTATTTACCCCTTTTAAAAAAATCGTGCGGACGGAGGAATATGAAATTTCACACACATATATTTTAAAGGCCTCCAGCAAGGTGGACCGACGATCTGGTCAAGATCGCGGGAAGGCATTGGATGCGAGCAGCGCAGGACCGATTGTCGTGGAGATCTTTGGGGGAGGCCTATGTCCAGCAGTGGACGTCTTCCGGGCTGCGATGATGATATTTTATAGAGAGGAGGAGTGTAGAAAATATATTTTTTTAATTATGCATAAACATACATTAAATAAAAAAAAATTACACACACTACCATTTATTTTACACGCATACACATAGAAGTATAATAAGCATTTGACAATAATTACAGCTTAATAATGTTCAAACTTAACTATCAAAAAACTAAAACTATCAAACTTAAGCAATTGTAAGTAGCTTTGACGTGGTCTAGTGTTTTGAGTAGTCATGCTCACTAAAATGTCCAGACTTGTGGCGGCGTGGTGGGCCGGGTTATTGGGCTCCCTAAAATATGGTCGAGCGCAGTGATGGCTGGCTCATCCGTCATACTCGTGAACGGGTGCTGCTTGAAGGGACTAGTCTGCTCTAATCACTATGACTGATTTCCTCTTATTAATTGTTTAACCAGTTGGTTATATATTCAATATTTTTTCTATTTGAGTATTTAATTGAATTAGTGCTAATTGGTGGTTTGTATTCACACACTTAAACTTAAAAATGTAAAGTAATAATAAAATTATTTAAAAGAGCAACACGCAAGTTTCTTGCTCGTTCTTCTTGTGATGAGACAGCTTTCCGAACGAGCAGTAAATTAAAAATATGTAATGACTATTCAAAAGTGCTTCAATGTCAGTTTATTTGAATAAATGATTTTCTATTCTTTCTATTCTATTCTATTCTTAAAAAAATTGTAGTCGATATTCGACTATTGAACGACCACTAGTATTTTTAAAAAGACGAAATTATCTGTGTAACGCTAAACATTGTGTTGGTATATAAATTCTTAGATTTATTCTATTTCCCATAGATTTTAAATTCATTCATTCATAATTTAAGAGCTACGCTCTTGTCGGTGGAGCTCTTGCCACTTACCGCGATCTTCCATCATGCTCTTTAATTCTTGATACGACACGACTCCCATTTTGTCCTCAATTTGTTTGATGTAGCTATTCCTTGGTCTTCCCTTCCCTCTCTTTCCTTCTATTTTCCCTTCAATATTAATTTTCATGAAATCATCGTGCCGTATCAAGTGCCCTAACATTTTTCCTCGTCTATTTTCTATGGTGTTCAATATTTGTCTTTTTTCTTTTACCCTGTGTAGTACTAATGTTTAATATAAAATTAAACAAAAAAGTTTCTGCTTGCTATTTTGTCAATCTGATCATGATTGACTGGTGTAAGAAGTAATCCATGTTCTTCTCCACAGAACCTTCTTTGTTCTGTGTTCTTGTCCATAACAATTAGCTATGGATTTGGTAGAGTTCATGACTTGATGCTATAATGCAAGAAAGTGCTACAAAATCAATTTCAGATATATAAGACTATACTAAATTATCTGCATTACCTGTGATATAGCATTTTTGGAATCTCACATAAGTTCCAGAAATGCTATATCCCGAACAGTGCGGTTTCAGGACAGCTTCCTCCCGCGTACACTTGGATTGTGGAATGAACTTCCTGCCAAGGTTTTCCTATGAGACTACAGCATGGGGTTTTTCAAGAAGGGTATATTAAGGTTTCTTAAGGGTCGGCAACGCGCACGTAATACACCTGGTGTTTCAGGCATTCATAGGCTACTGTAACCATTTACCATCAGATGGGCCGTATGCTTGATGCCAACATCGTTGTATAAAAAAAAGCGTGACTTATATTACGAATATAGATAATTACAGGTTATTGAATTATTTAAAAAAAAAATCTTATATATTAAATTCTCGTAGGATTTGTAACAAAAGTCCTACGAAACGGCTCGGACGATTCTTATGAAATTTTATTTGTATATTCAATAGTTCTGAGAATAGGACGTAAACTATTTTTCATACCATCATGTGATAAGGAAAAACACGCCAATTATATTTATATGTTTTTATATTTTTATTTATGATTTTATGTTAAAAATACATATAGTACTAAATTTTAATCTTTCAACCCCTACCTCACTACATAGTATAAAACAATGTCGCGGTCGCTGTCTGTCCGTCCTATATGCTTAAATCTTTAAAACTACGCCACGGATTTTTTTAAATAGATAGAGTGATTCTGGACGAATATTTATGTATAATACATGTACACCCGGGCGAAGCCGGGGCGAGTAGCTAGTCTATTATAATTTATAAGGAAAAACCACGTTTCTCGGATCCGCTAGCTATATATTGAATACAGTTTATATATATAATGTGTATAAAAATGTATAGCAACATATACATAGAAGAACTTAGTATGAATGGTAAAACAAGGAAGAAATTTATAAAGGGAAAATGAATCTTGTTGACTGACTGATGGAGATCCTAGTTTATTAGTTTTTCGTGGATTATGTGTGTGTAATTTAACAAGTTTATATCTCTAAATTGTCATCTTCGTACTGTGTTTTGAGATAATAAAGAAATTATTATTATGATGCCTATCACAGCTTCCATCGAATTGGAAGGATTGGTACATGGTGGTTAAGTGACAAGGGCATCGAATTGAGAAGATTTTTAAAGATTGTGGTACATGCATGCGTGGTCTAGTGCCAATGGCCGCGGTTTCGATTCGTATAGTGTAATTATTTGTATTCATAAGTATGATTGTTTGTATTGATCTGGGTGTTTTTTATGTGTATTTGTATTTACAAAAAATGTATTTAAGTATTTCTACCAGTTATCTAGTACCCATATACAGGCTCTATTTAGCTATGGACTAGATGTTGCTTAGTGAATTGTCCACTTTTATTATTATTATGATCTGCCATATTTTAGTGACTCTAATGATTGGGTCATTGGGGTCCCTAAAATCACGTCGTCAATTGGCTGGACAAGACGCCCTTTTTAATATAGGGGGCAAACGAGCTTGCTCATTTGATGGTCAGTGATTGCCGCTGACCATGAGCACCTGCAACACCAGGGGAATAGCAAGTGCGTTGTCGGCCTTTTAAGAAGAAAAAACCTTTTTCTTGAAGGTTTCAATATCGTATCAGTTCGGAAATACCATTGCTGGAAGGTGACTCCACAATGTGGTTGTGCGTGGCAAAAAGTGGGAGTAGAAGAAATACAATTTGTATAATTTTGATCAATCAACAGTTTATTGACAAGTATGTATCCTGAATATAAATTAATAATTGCAAATGGAAGTTGCTAGAAATAGAATCGTAATTTATTACATATGCTATTGCAACAGAAGCGTCGAGTGCTCACTTGGCCGATTGGTTGCCAAGTATTAAGTCAGATATGTAGATGTAAAGATCTCGAAGTCTCAAGCGCTTGTCTTATTCGCAGAATACCAGCATTGTCACCACATATGCTGAGTGGAGACCTATTCGATACTGTGCATTAAGCTCCAAATATTTTGATTATGTTTTTTGCTCTGTTTATTATAATCTGTGTGTTCTCCAATAGATATATTTTCCATCCTTCGAAAACTATGGGTATGGCAGTTATTATTTTATTCTTCAGTGATTACGACATATTATCATCTGTACTAAAATTTATAGCGATTTAGTAAAGCACTGGGCCACGACCACCGCATGCACAGTTTCCAGAGATAACGACAGTGCCTGCAGCTGGCAGGTTGCCACTGAACTGTACAGCGCCGAGCACTGGCACTTGACCATTTACAAGGGTTGTACCAACGACTGGGAGTTCACCGTTGCAAAGGACCACACCGTTACCAACACCGCCGTAGCCTGTATTAGGGATAGCAAGACCAGGTGCAGCAATGCCAGCTATGCCACCAGCTCCAGCCAGCGCGTTAGCTCCAGCCACAGCACCGGCTCCAGCCAAACCTCCGTATCCCAAGTTTCCGAGACCAGTATATCCACCAGCGCTAGCCGCAGCAGCAGCACTTGATTCAGCCAGACCTCCGTATCCCAAGTTTCCGAGACCAGTATATCCAGCGGCGTTGGCTGCAGCGGCAGCGTTAGCTCCAGCTAGACCTCCATATCCCAAGTTGCCAATGCCAAATCCGGATGCTTCAGCGGCTGCGCTAGCACTAGCGGCTCCACCAGCCAAGCCGTATCCATTACCGAGTCCGTAGCCAGCTAGCGGAGCACCGTAGCCCCACCCTCCTCGGTTGACAGTCTCGACGTCGACAGCTGCACTGGCGGCTGCCTCGCTGACTGCACCGTACCCGCGTCCAGGCAACCACGGGCCCGCTATCTGACTGTAGGCATTCTGAAACAAGAAGACGTTTCCAAATCAGAAAACAGCTCAGCTTCTTGATATTTCATTCTTCATTTCGGAATAATGCATACAAAAAGATGCATTGATGGCTTTCTACAGTCAATCAACTTATGTGGGATATAATGCAAGAGCAACGAACAACGAATTTGGAAGAACTTCTGTTTTTTCTCTCTCATTATCTATCATCGCCTAGCTTACATTCTATCCGATTCTTTAATACAATATATACATAATTAGGAACACAATATAATTATAGTTTTAAGGAAATGTGAAGGAAATAACCGTCGACTATGTACATGGACGTAATAATGGTATAACTTCATAAGTTACCATAGTGCCCGAGGACTAAAGTGCCATCTGCGAACCCATAGCCATAGCTTTCTTTACCTCTCAATCGAAATATAATAAAGCAAAGTAAGCAACTTGGTGGCTAAAATAACAAGCGAGACAGGGTTCGTACAAAGACGAGCACAATACAGAAGACTTTGTTAAAAGTCTAATTGTGTCTTACAATGTTACAGAATGTATAAACCAAAATGTAATTATATGATAATTATGATTTTGAAACATATTATGTTATAGTTATTTTGTGTATTGAATGCGTATTTAATTGATATAATGTTATTTATTGAAGTAATTGTATTTAAATTGAAATTTGTATAAATATTTATGACTTGCCATATATATAATAATAATAATAATTTCAAATTTCAAATTAATAAGAACAGTTCACACAGCGCCATGTAGACCCAAGTTACGCTAGCTAAAGCTTGTATTATGGGCACTAGATAACTGAATCCCTAGAAAACTCGAATATATGTAAAGGAGTTTTTTTACAATGGTTAATAAATAAAATATGACATTTTTTTTAAATAATTACCTGGATCAGGCAAGCCTGGATGCAAAGCAACAAGAAACTGAATTTAGACATGTTTAACAATGTTGAATGAACACTGAATGATATTTTTCAAACTACCACCAACCTTTTATACTAATAATGTTTATTTTGAAATAACATATAATCTATATAATTTCACAAATGCGCATTGTTTTGTAAAACGTGTAATTTATATTGTAGCGTTACGTATTGATAAGGGACGACACAATAAGTGAATTGGTTTCAATATGAGGACAGTCACTATATAAGGTCGATATTTGATTTTGAAAATACATTCGTTCTACATTTGTACTCAAAAATGGCAACTAAGTTTGTACTTGTATTGTGCGCTCAAGCACTTTTGATTCAGGTAAACTAAATATTTAAATTAATTGTTTTAAATCATCAAATATACAGAAATTATAGTACTAATAATAAGTGAAGACCTTTTTGTAAATAAGGATTAATTCTGTATCGGTTTCAAATTGATTTTATTGTACTTAATTAGAGCTTGAAATTTTTAAATTACCTAAATAATATAAATTTGTACCATAAATAATAATATTTAAAATTGTTAAAGTTCTATTTTGTGTATAATCTCTATTGATTATAAAAATAATGAAATCACACATACAATAATAATATCAGCTAATTGATAAACTTCTTTTAAAAAACTGATAATTTATTTAAATGATAAAACAGAGAATTTTGATATTTTTTTTTTATCTTTACAATTTCACTTTGCTGTGGCGTTTCATCTATTAATTTATTGCTAAATATTAAGCAAGTTCGTACTGATATTATGAAAGGGAAGTTATTTGTCTGTTTGTCTATCTATTTGTTAATAAAATTGTACATTAATCATAAAAATATGATTATACTTTTTCTCAAAAATAACCGGCAAAGTTGCGGGTATAACTGTTGTTTTATGCAAACTAGAGTCTGTAATAAATTTATACGTTACATAATTCTTCTCCATAATATGAACTTAGATTTTAGTATTTCTGTGTGTCTGAAAGTAATAATATTTTTATTCCTTTCCAGTGTGCAGTGAGTCAAATTTCTTACAACCCACTTCGCCCTGTCTACTCTGGAATTCCATCTTTGGGTGCTATTAGTGGTAGCTCCATTGTTGAAAATACCGTCGTTGAGAATTCCGTTGCCATTGGCAACAGTGGATGGGGATTGGCCAACAATGGCTTGATTGGTTCCGGACTCGGTCTGGCCAACGCTGGTGTTGTTAGCTCTGGACTTGGTTTGGCCAATACTGGAATAATTGGATCTGGACTCGGCTTGGCCAATACTGGTGTCATCAGCTCTGGTTTAGCCAACTCTGCTGTAATCGGTAACACTTTACTGCCTGCCCCTAGCGCTGCATTCCTGGATATCACGTCATTCTCTACCGGCGATGTTCTGCCCATCAATAGCTTCTCTCCCATCGCTCCAGCTGGCATCACTGTGCTGTCACAGAATACTATCGAAGGACCTTTGGCGGTCGTTGGACAGCTACCGTTCTTGAGTGCAGTGGCGTTTGAGGGTGCGCTGCCTTCTGAAGGCGCGGGCGCTGCTGGATGCGGCTGCGGTACCGCCGGCAACATTGGCATCATCAAGGAGACTTTCGCACCCATTCCAGCACCAGCTCTTGGTGGAATTGGTATCGGAGCTGCTGGCCTTGGATTAGGCGGAGCACGATTGTTCTAAATTCTGACCGAAGTCCGAGATTCTGACCTACTCCCAAGTCTGATATCAATATAGATTCCAATCCAATTTAATACTGTACTGTTCATTTTAATCAAGACAAACCGAAATAAACTAAATAAATCAAAGGCAGTTATTTCTTTCATTGATCACGGTATTCAATAAGATTCTTCAGTTTAAGAGTAAATAAAAAAGGGAGCGTCGCTCCACAGTTCAATGTCATTTCTTTGTATGATATTTTTTATTTATCACTGTTATGAAGAATAAAATTTATTCATATTAGTTTTGTCTATTAATTAAACATTAGCTTCTGCATTCGACTTCGTTTGTTTTTTTGTGAGATCAACGGTATCCTATATAAAGATATATAATATATCAGTTAATTATAATATATTGTATATACATATTAATTATATTGTATAAGTACTAATATGTTGTATCTTCATATCAAAGTACATTAAGATCGAATTATTCATAACTACTCGCAACGGCTTCGCACGGGTATAAGTATACATATAAACTTTCCTCTTGAATCACTTTAACTATTGTTTAAAACTGCAATAAAATCCGTTGTGTAGTTTATAACATCTGTACTATATTGTCCAAAAATATATTAGATTAAGTTGAAATTTCAAAAGTTCTTTCTTAGCGATGCTTCCCTTATGAAATATACATAAATTTTAAACGTCAACTTTCTAAACTTAGGAGTTCTGTATATAGTACTTTAAGTCACAGGTTCGACTGTATATGGAGTACTGCTCCGTGCTCCGCTCCTTTTGACTGGGTTCAAAGACGTGCTATGAGATTGTCGATAATCTCAATCTCTCTGGCGGTATCGAACCACTTAGCTTGAGGCGAGACTTCGCATCATTTTGTGTGTTCTACCGAATATATAAGGGACTGTGTTCTGAAGAATTCTTACACTTGATGCCCACGCACTTTTACCGTCGCACCTCTCACCATTGATAGGGAATTCCTAAGTGGTTTCGTACAGTGCGGTTTCAGATGGGCTTCTTCCTGCATACACTTAGATTGTGGAATGAACTAGAGAGACTACAATTTGGGGTTTTTAAAGATATATCCTATATTAAGGTTTCTTAAGGGTCGACAACGCGTACGTGACAGTCTTGGTTTTTTAGGAGTCCATAGGCTACGGTAGCCGTTTACCATCAGATGGGCCGTATACTTGTTTGTCACCTACGAAGTATAATATATATATATAAACGATTCAGAGCTCTGCTTGTAACCTATTTGTATATTGTATAAATAAATTATAACATAGATAACTGAATTATAATTCAAGCTTTATTTTATTTATTTGATATTACAGATATATGTATTTTTAATAAGACAACTGAACACTATTCGCACTAATATAAATCACGTTATTGTAATGATTACCTTATGTATTCTTATATAAAGAGCGAATACTATAACTGCCACATGGTAATTTTAAGATTGCTATGACATAGTCGATTGTCTTGAGTAATTGCTTACTAAAATGTGCATACATCTGACAGCATGGTGGGATATTGGGTTCCCTAAAATATGGTCGAGCGCAGAGAGGCTGGCTCATTCATCATACTCGTGAACGGGTGCTGCTTGTAGGAACTGGTCTGCTCTAATTACTACGACTGATTTAATTTTATTGTGTATTTAATATTTTGAGTCTAAAGAATTAAAGCTAGTTGGTAGTTTGTATCAACACATTTCAATTTAAAAATGTAAAGTTATAAACGATTATTTAAAAGATCAACACGCAAGTCTCTTGCTCGCTCTTCTTGTGATGAGACAGCTTTTCGAATGAAGTAGATTCAAAAGTGCTTAAATTTAAGTTAATTTCAATAAACGGTTTTCTATTATATATTTTTATTTTATTTAGTACTAGGTAGCCAATATGCGTCTTTTCTTTAGTACTGCACAAAGTGAAGTGGAAGGTCTATCATGTTAGATTCAAATATTAAAAACTATTTAATAAAAAAAAAAACTCTTAAAGTTGTTTCGGATTAATAACAAATGGCGTCGGTGGTCTAGCGATTTTACAACGCCTTACTTCCGATGGCGTGTTCGATCTAGCACGATGCAAACCATTATATTCATGAGTATAATTGTTTGTATGGGTTTCGGTATTTTCTATGTATATTATGTATGTATGTATTTAAAAAAAAATATATAAGTATTTATATCTTACTAATATTATAAACACGAAACTTTGTGAGTAAACGGATTTTGATGAAACTTTACAATAATATAGCTTATACATCAGGATTACACATAGACTATAATTTAAAAAGATATTATGTATATTGAGCGAAGTTTAATGATAAATGTGAAGTAAGTGTGGAGACGAAGTTGAGTGAGTTAGCTAGTCATTCATAAAGTAGCTTGAGTGGCAATGGCGCTGTGTAAATAGTCCTGAGTTCTTAATATGTATTCATAAGTACAATGGTTTGAATTGGTTTTAGAGTGATCTATGTATATTATATATGCATTTATCACAGAAGACCGAAGAGCTGGCAGCTATATTGGACAAAGAATTAGTATAGCTATTCAAAGAGGGAACGCTGCCAGTATCTTCGGAACTTTGCCTAAAGAGATCCCTTTTAATAATATATTTTAGTTATTGTATTATATTTTTAAAATTTTAATTTTAGGTTGTATTTATAAAAAAATATTTAAGTACCTAATTCTAACAGTTGTCTAATATTCATAATACAAGCTTGGGATGAAGCTGTGTAAATTCTCCTTGTTTATTAATATTATTATCATTTCGATACTAGATGGATGACAACTCTGTGTGAGTTCTTCGGTGTTAATTACTCTTAATACCTTTTAAAATGGGGTAGACAAATAGAAAGACATCAATATACATAAATTAAATTTAATTATAAGACATTATTTAGTTTAAAATAATCGTCCAGCACCTAGTCCAACTCCCATATCGAGTACACTTCCCACGCCGACTCCAGAAACAGCTGGTGCAGCGATAGGCTCATATGTCTCACTAATAATACCAATATTGCCATTGCTACCGCAACCACAGCCTGCTGACGACGCACCCTCAGATGCCAATGATCCTTCGAAAGACACAGTGCTCAAGAACGGCAGCTGACCTATTACAGCTACCGGTCCTTCAATTACGTTTTCAGACAAAACTGATATTCCAGAGGGAACGATGGGAGAGTAACTGGTGACGGGGAGCAGACCGCCGGTGGAGAGTGATGCGAGACTCAGGTAGTCTGTGTTCACAGCGGGGAGAACTGCGTTGCCGATCAAACCGGTGTTACCGATGGCAACTCCAGAATTGGCTAAGGCATTGTTCCATCCGATATCGGCCGCTCCAGAGCCGATTGAGGCAGCGTTGGCCCATCCAGCAGCTGTCGCTTCAGAGCCGAGTAAGGCAGCATTGTTCCAACCGGCAGCCGTCGCTCCAGAGCCGATTACAGCAGCGTTATTCCATGCATTAGTCGCGGCATTAGAACCGAGTAAAGCAGCATTGCCGAGTCCGATACCGGCCGCACCAGCGTTGGCCAGACCAGCTCCAGTGACGCCCACACCTGAAGCACTGTTGCTCACCGCGACTGAACTCTCAGCAACTGACTGGCTGCTCGCACCAAATGAGCCCCCGTAGTTCAGTTGACCAAGTGCTGACTGGAAATTGATACATTATTAGAATTATAGAGATTTCACCCGCGTGAAATTTATATGTTATTCTGATGTGTAAGCTATATTACTGTAAAGTTTAATTAAAATCCGTTCAGTAGTTTTTGAGTGAAAAAGTAACAAATATCTATCGATACTCACAAACTTTAGCGTTTATAATATGTAATAATAAGATTGAAAATTATTAAACGGAAATTACACAGTACAATAAAGTCAAGTATGACTACTTACTGGAGCAATTAATATAGGGCTTATCGATTAATATATATATATGTATATATAACCAGTTCATACCCAATGTAGCTTTTTATATTTGAATTTTTTTTTATGTTAAATATTTTTTACGAATATTTACAAATAAAAAATATGTTTCTTTGTTATTATATTACTTTAAATAACTATGCCTACAGGAAAGAAATCCATAGTATAATAATGGGATAATCTCTTTACCCAAAGACAAGAAAGTCGGAGTAAGGTGGTCAGCCCCGATGCCTCCAACATCTCTCCCTTAAGGGGTGAAGATGCAGCCTCACTCCCAGACTCATTTCTCAAAATTACGAATAATAAGTTAACAAAGTGTCATCTTTAAAGAATTTTACCGCCTTGTTAATTAAGGCGGTAAAATGGTGACCATAAACAACGAATAGACTAATATAGAATTTTTATAAATATAAAATCTTATTTTTTTATATTACCTGGAGCAAAAGCGCTTGCACGCAAATGATGATGGTCTTTGTTGCCATTGTTCTATAAGATTGTTTGATTGAATGTGATTATGCTTTGTTTTTTTCCCTATAAATACATATAGTGTTGCCAGTTTCATAACTAAAACTTACGTGTTTTTATCACATTATACAATAATGTCTTAATATATATTACATGATATTATAAGAAAAATTGTTACTAAGTAAATGGTCTATTTATATATAGACTTAGATTGTAGATAGACACTTACTTCGTTATCTATTATTAAACAACAATTTTATAACGTAATGATTCCTCAATATTCAATATTTATTGCATTCCATAATGTTTACAGTTACAGATTTGTCGACCTCGATGGTCTAGCGGTTTAGTACACCGCCTTACTTCTGATGGTCGTGGGTTCGATTCCTCTCACGGTACAAACATTCGTATGTATGGTTGTTTGTAACGGTATGGGTGTTTTCTATCTAGACACGCGGTAGCGTGTCAAGCCGAGTTTCAAGTAAAAGAACTGGCGAGCAGCATTTATGTATATTTACACGAATCATTTGTAGTCACTTTTGACCCCCTCATAACTCAAGAACTCTTTAACATAAACCTGTCAAATTTGGTTCATATATATATAATATTCTATATTTACTAAAAAATCATATCTATGTATTTGTATCAGTTATCTAGAACCCATAACACAAGCTTTAGGTAGCTTAACTGCGTGAATTATTCTGAGATTATTATTATTACCATTAGAGGTGTTTACAATTGATACATTTAGATAAATATGGATCCTAAGCACGCAAACATAACAAAATTATTAACAAATGATCAATATTTAGCCTTTATTTACAACATTCTAGCAGTGCCCGCGACTACATTCACGTGGAACAATAATCGTTATATTTATTTATATGAATCAATCTAATAAATAAGTTTCAACCTTCTAGCTTCTCCCCTTTCAACCCCTTTATAACCCTTTTGTTTTATTTATATTTCATTGTAATCAACAGCCTAAAAAGTAAGTTTCTAGCTTTAAAAATGACGATACTTCCATACAATCTTTCATCTCCCCTTTCAACCCCTTACAACCCTTCGCATTAAAAAGTAGCCTATGTCCAATCTCAGGACTATCTGTGTATGAAATTTAATTTAAATCGGTTCTGTAGTATTTGATATAAATTCAATCCGTGATATGGGATATGGGATATGGGACCAATCCGTGATATGGGACCTCGACATTAAACCCCTATCTATCAATTTGTAGAAATAATGAATTATAACACCAATAGTACCTCATCTTGGAACTAGATTGCGTTGTACAAAGTTATCGTATGTTTTATTTTTATTTCACGCAACTGTATTAAAATAATAAAATCAATTTGAGCAACTTTAAGTATGAACTTATTCTTTAATGTAACTTTGACAATTTTAATTTTCTTCTTCAATCGTTCTCTCTTGACAGAGTGGTCATGTCTTTCATGATGATACCTCTTCGTTGTCCTCCTCGGCGACAGAGCTCCTCGCGATTTGCTTCCCTCTGGTACGGTTTTTAGCTCAGAACATTTTAGAATGGTACTGCGTGTTTCCATATTTATAAGGTCAGTCCATCGCATTGGTGGTCGACCCCGATAACGTATGCCCTCATTTTAATCACCTCCTTGTAATTCAATTACACTTCAATTTCTTTATGTTCTCATCCAATAAGTAGTCTATGCTTGTATATAATATGTATTAATATGTAAGTTTATTTATTTATGCTCATATTTTTTTATGATTATTTTTTAAATGTGTAAATAATATACAGTGTAATGCTGGCTCAACGGTCATACTCGTGAATGGATGCTGCTACTGGGGACAGGACTTTTCGTTATGGCCATTGATTGCATGATTTCTCTTTGACTTATATGCTAAGGTGATGCTATATTCTCCATAATTGAATTTAAAAAGGCGTCTGTATTTTTGTTATTTTATAAAAGTTCATTTGAAAATAATAAGATTTGAATTTCGATTTCTTATCAGTCCTTAGCTCGAAAGCACTCTGAACTGACGGTAGATTTGACATATCATAAAAATCTGTAAGGTCTGTAGGTCTACCTACATGAATAAGTATAGAATATCTTAAGTTTTATTGCTTTGTCTAATGTGCATCTTCTACTTTCTCTATCTATGTAAATACTCTTTACCAATACGAATATATGATTGCTTATAGTGATAAGATCATCTTTCGTAATATATTTTATTTAATGTTCTTTTATTACTGTTTTTTTATCTTTATACAATCTATAGATACATATAAATCAAATTGGAGTGTCTGTTTGTAATACTGAAATAACCGTTTTATACTACATGCATATGAATATAAATAGGGTACATCCACCAAAATAACGTTTTTAAAAATTTTTGTCTGTCTGTCTGTTTGTTCCGGCTAATCTCTGAAATGGCTGGACCGATTTTGATGGGACTTTTTTTGGCAAGTAGCTGATGTAATAAGGAGTACTCTTATTTTAGAAAATAATGTTAAATTCCACGCGGACGAATTCACGTGTACAGCTAGTAGATAATAAAAGAATGAATAAATTATTATTGTTATTATTATTTTGTATTTCGAATTTAAAATTGTCATACAAATAAAAAATAAACAATGAAGGTTGTAGTGGAAACACTAACGGTTTAATATTTGTCATCTCGCGCCGAGCGTACACGGGCCGCAGTGCGCAAGAGGGGAGATATTCCCGCGCAAGCGCCGCGGAGTAAAGATGTGGAGCTGTGGGTAACGAGCCGATATTATGTCTATAACAACTTACATACTAGGAGATACAAGAAGACGTAAATAACAAATAAGTGAACACTACAAAGGTATGACACATATGTAAACAAACTTCTATTCATCAAATTTACTACAGAGGCCGCTCGGTATGTATGTCATAGTAGTTATTGCTTGCAATTATATTCTTTTATTAAATTTTATTTAGACTATCTAACTTAAAGGTGTTATACAGGAGCTTCCTCCCGCGTACACTTAGATTGTGGAATGAACTTCCTGCCGAGGTTTTCCCACGAGACTACAGCATGGGGTTTTTCAAGAAGGGTTAAGGTTTCTTAAGGGTCGGCAACACGCACGTGATACCCCTGGTGTTTCAAGCGTTCATAGGCTACGGTAACCATTTACCATCAGATGGGCCGTATGCTTGATTGCCACCATCGTAGTATAAAAAAAAGCAACTGTATGTATGTATTTTTACATTAGATTTTAAAACTTTGACCTTATACGCTAAGGCGATAAGAACACGTTAGACTATAACCATACTAGATCGACTACCTTCTTTCCCTCGGGAATCAACATAATGAATTCCTGGTGAATTCGGCACGATAAGCCGATTTGACATCACTGGTGCCTCGTCAGCATAAATTATTTTGTATTTAACTTCGATTTTAATAACTAATCTAGTTATTGCAGTTATCTACTATTTATGGTTACGTTAACTAACTTGATAATTATATTGACCAGTGGGCTAATTATGTAACACGATATGAAATTGTTTCTGTTGAAGTTGTGATGCAATATGAAATCATTTCAATTTAAAAAATGCGATCAAGTAAGGTGGAATGACCGCAACATAAATCATTTCTATCGATAAAACACTACTATGAAGTTGCAGCGGAATATTGTTAATCCGACCAATTTAAATAGTCAGTACATTAGATAGCTTATACCTTTAGAGGGATACATTTTAATCTATTGGGTTGTTATACTAGTTGGTTGATTTGAAACAATTTTTATTGCGTTCAAAAATTACAAAATATACTGCAGCGTTCACTTGTTCTTTTATTTTAATTTTATTAATAGACATTTAATAAAATAGAATAAAGAAAGTCTATTCTATTCTAATGAAAAAATAAGGTTAATAATTTTGAATATAAAAGCATATTTTATACAAACTATTTATAATCATTAATAATATTAATCTAACCTACAAATTAAATTTTCTTTTCTGCTATAGATACCTAGGTAAGTACGTAGGTATCCATATAAATTTAAAATGATATGGGCACATCTTTTTAAATTTGTACATAATTGTAAAAACTTTAAACAAATAAATTTATTTACTTTAAATAAATCACAGAGCATCATAAACGTTGTATTCCGTTCACAGAGCACCGTATTCATTGAAATAGTTTTTTAATTATATTAATATCATAATCAACCCTAATTTTATATTAAACATTTACTCTAGTTAATACAACATTCTATGTGATTTGGGACGAAAATAAAATATCGAATTGGCAACACTGATGTCGTGTTGTGAGTCGTGACAATTTTCCCATTTTAATAAATTTAAAACCTTTTCACGACTTTCTACGTAATATTTAATATAATAAAAATATATGTAATACTGAAAATTACCAAAACAAGATAAATAATGCTGCTAATGCTGATATTTTAAAGATTGTAACCAAAAGAAACACCTTCTAAATTGTTTCTCATAATGTAAAAACCGTTTCAATTCCACGCTGTCATTTCGGCAAAATAGCGATTACGTGACGTTGCAACGAGGTTACTAAATCGACATTCGATAGAAATAATTTTTATCGATATGTAAAGTTGCGTTTACGTTGCAATGCTAGTTGACAGCGTCAAACGGCGTCTATATGATCGCATTATTGACAGATGACGTCATTTTCACTACGTTACATACGAAAATCGTTGCGAACGAAGTTACATAATTAGCCCACAGATATCTCCAGTAACAACGTAACTGTGAGTAACTAAATCAGTATGTAATTATAGTGTCTATTAGGTACTACTTTAACTAAGTAACTACTAGAATTACATAGTACCTTCGGTTACGTCCTCTACATCGGTACTTTTTACATCACCTTTGTTGCTTTTATTATCGACACTTGGTAAAAATAATAGACAATACAAATATAATTTATACTTATTCAGTAATAATTTATATAGATTTTAAATTAAATTACTAATATAATTAATAAATAATGGGACTTGCTCCACCACATGCACAGTTCCCGGAGATGAAGACGGAGCCAGCGCCGGGTAAGTTACCACCGAACTGCACAGCGCCGAGCACTGGCACCTGGCCGGTCACGATGGTGGTGCCGACAATTGGTATATCACCAGTCACAGTGACCAAACCATTGCCAACACCACCGTAGCCAGTATTGGGCACAGCGAGAGCAGGTGCAGGAAGACTGATGGCGCCAATATTGGCACCAGCGATACCAAGGCCAGCTGCGCCAATACCGGCTCCTAGTCCAGCTGTGCCCCACCCAGCTGTACCGAGTCCAGCCGCATTGAGTCCAGTTACGCCAAGTCCAGCAGCGCCGAGTCCAGTTACTCCGAGTCCAGCTGCGTTGAGTCCAGTTACGCCAAGTCCAGCAGCGCCGAGACCAGTTACTCCGAGTCCACCAATACCGCCGCGTCCATAAGACCCAACACCGAGAGATTCTACTCCAATAGACGCCACATCGACATCACTTAAAGCAACTGCACCAAATCCAGATCCATAACCAAGTCCAGTTCTATAACCGAGACCGGGAGCGAGTCCTATAACCTGGCCGAAAACGGTCTGAAAAGAAATAAAAAGATTATTATTAATAAATTGTTAGTATTTCTTAAAATTAATATAAACGTTGAAATATTAAATATACTATATAAAATAAACTGAAGGGAAAATGCTAAAAATTACTAAAGTTTTAACAGCTGTCACTTTACACATAAATATCTGAAACTTCTTCAATATCTTCATTATGCGAGAGATTAAACCCACGGCCATCGGAAGTGAGGCGGTATGTTAAATTCCTGGACCACCAAGACTGTCAAATAGGCTTATTATCACGCTGTTATATAAATTTTGATAGTAAATATCAGCTTCCTTGTGCAAATATCATTAGAAAAGTTAGGACACACCTTAACTTTTTAATTTTTTAAATCCTTTCAATCCTAAAATATCTGCAGCATTTTCGAAAACCCATGCATGCAATTTCCCATTAAAATTACCTGAATTAGAGACACCTGGATGCAAAGTAATAAAAATGTGAAGGTAGACATATTCGATAAAAATATAACAGAAATCAGCTAAAGAATGTGCTTCTCAGTATTAACGCACGTTTTTATAATAAAAACATTATGTAACATTTATGTATTATCACTTTATGATATAAATAATAATCAGCTACAATTTTAGTAATAAGATTTCATGGAAACTCACAGATATGTTCAAAGATTATTGAATAATTACTGATTAAATTTATAGCGAAACATAAGTTTCTTAGATTGTTATGAAAGAGATAACTGTAGAGTATTGACTCTATATAAAAGAAACAAAATAATTTTACAACCACATTCAATAATTAGATCAATATATTGAAATATGGCAGCCAAGACAATCTTTGTTTTATGCGCACAAGCGCTTTTACTTCAGGTAAACAAAATAAAATAATAATACCTTATTCAGAATCAAAACCTAATGTTTTTAACGATCAAATTTACATAGAACCACATAAAAGCATCAGACTTTAAATAGAAAAAGAATTATCATAAAGAATCATAATCTCTGAAAAAAATCTAAAGTAACATATATAAAAAAGGCAGTTCAATTGAGAATGTACTTATTCTTAAATCGGTTGATAAAAAACAGAGCACTCTTTATAATTGTCAATATATGTAATTTTGCAAAATTTATAAATTATTCTATCAATTTTGCAAAATCTCTTTGTTTAAATAAAATACTGCTCTCATGTAACTGGCTGATAATACATTCTCTATGTTTATTAATTTTATTCAATAGAATAGCATTATCAATTTTTTCCTCTTTACAGTATTTGTTTTGACTTATACAAAATGCTAATGAGATTTATTAATTTCCAGTCCGTGCTGGGTCAACTGAACTATGGAGGCTCATTTGGTGCCAGCAGCCAATCAGTTGCTGAGAGTTCAGTCGCGGTAAGCAACAGTGCTTCAGGTGTGGGCGTCACTGGAGCTGGTCTGGCCAACGCTGGTGCGGCCGGTATCGGACTCGGCAATGCTGCTTTACTCGGTTCTAATGCCGCGACTAATGCATGGAATAACGCTGCTGTAATCGGCTCTGGAGCGACGGCTGCCGGTTGGAACAATGCTGCCTTACTCGGCTCTGAAGCGACAGCTGCTGGATGGGCCAACGCTGCCTCAATCGGTTCTGGAGCGGCCGGTCTCGGGTGGAATAATGCCTTAGCTAATTCTGGAGTTGCCATCGGTAATACCGGTTTGATCGGCAACGCAGTTCTCCCCGCTGTGAACACAGACTACCTGAGTCTCGCATCACTCTCCACCGGCGGTCTGCTCCCCGTCACCAGTTACTCTCCCATCGTTCCCTCTGGAATATCAGTTTTGTCTGAAAACGTAATTGAAGGACCAGTAGCTGTAATTGGTCAGCTGCCGTTCTTGAGCACTGTGTCTTTCGAAGGATCAGTGCCATCTGAGGGTGCGTCGACAGCAGGCTGTGGTTGCGGTAGCAATGGCAATATTGGTATTATTAGAGAGAATTATGCCCCTGCTCCTGCGCCAGCTATTTCTGGACTCGGCTTGGGTACTGGTCTGGGAGGAGCTAGGAATTGGTTTTAGTTAAGTTAGTTATATAAGCTGCTAGATTCTAACGGTGAACTCGGTTCACTTGGTTCTAACTATGGAAAGCTAGCTCCAAAATTAATAAATATATTTTTTTTAATTAATGTCATTGAACTTTATTACCCAATATATTGACCCTTTTCGATTAAGAAAAAAATTAACAAAAAACATTATCTTAAATGAAATGAACATCCAGCTTCGGACTCGTTTTTATTTAATAAAAAAATCAAATATTTTAACACACACACATACACACATACTCTGTTCGATGTCGATTTCTTCTATGAAACTGTACATCAATTTGTTCTATTCCCAATAATTTCGCGCGATTGGGTATTTTTTTGGAAATATTTTTACACGTTGGCTCTCATTATGGAAGTTTTCTTAAGGATTAGGGATCCTTAAGAAAACTTTTTTGAAAATATTCTATCGTTAAGTTTTTCAGAGATAATGTAGAATTGTAACGATAAAAGAATGTTTCAAATCGGTCCAGTAGTTTTGGAGTCTCTTCAATATAAACAAATAAACAATAAAATCTTTTGTCTTTATTATCTTACATAGATATAGATATCTATATATATAAAAATGAATTGCTGTTCGTTAGTCTCGCTAAAAGTCGACTACTGCTGAACCGATTTGGCTAATTTTAGTCTTGAAATATTCGTGGAAGTTCAGGGAAGGTTTAAACGGTAATGAAATATGAAGAAATTGCATGGATAATAGTAAAAACAACAATTTTATTTTCCCATACAAACTGTCAAAGAAGGTGCATTCAGAAATGTATTGCGTTAATAAACTTCAAAAAACCTTTACATATTTAATTTTGAGCCGGAACAGAGTTCGAGGGGTCAACTAGTATATATATATAAATTGTTTCTGAAGAAAATTTATATTTACTCTGATATAACGTTCTTAAATACATAAACTGTAAAATGTAGATCCTATGGATTACATATTAACGTTTCTATTGTATCGTGGCGTGGTGGTTTAAGACCTTGATATACGACGAAGAGGTCGTGTATTTCAAATTGGTTGACGTAAAAAGATGTCTATATGCGGTTGTAAGGAGGTACTCTCTACATTCACAATAAATATAATGTTAACTATATTTTTAAAACGTCAATTATTCACTTATTAATTAATTGTTACCGCGACTTCATCCGCGTGGAATTTAACTTTATTTTTCTAAAATAAAAGTAGCCTAAGTTGCTCCTTATTACATCAGGTACCTGCCAAAAAAGGTCCCGTTAAAATCGGTCCAGCCATTTCAGAGATTAGCCGGAACAAACAGACAGACAAATATTGTAAAAAAAATATTTTGGTGTATGTACCGTATTTATATTCCTATGCATGTAGTAAAAACACGGTTATTTCAATATTACAAACAGACATTTCAACTTTATTTATATGTATATATTATTAACATTACATATCATCGCCATTTTATATTATACCTTTTGTTACTCTCCCTCCTTCTGTTATAAACATGCCAACCAAACGACATATTCAATTCATATTTCTTACCAACTTTCAGGTGAAGGAAACACCGTTAACAATTAATCCGATAGACGACGTTAGGCTTTCACGTTTGATTCAAATACATATATTCAGCGATGTATGTATAACGTAATGCATGTATAGTGCTGCATTCACTACAACATCGACCGTTAACAATAGTTAAAGGGGCGTAGTTACGAGCTGAGTTTCTTATCAGTTCTTCTCAAGTTGAAATCATTCCGAACTTACGGTAAATTTGACATATCATAAGAGTCTGTAATAGACCTACATGAATAGATATTTTGATGGTATGTTTTTGTAGAGTTAACATTAATAATTTATACTGTGGTCATAGACATCAAATTGGTTTTAGTCGTTCATGTGTGGGATTTTCATTTAATGTTAGACATAGACAGCTGCATAAGTACAATTTGTAAATAAACTGACTTTAAAAAGAAACGAAATTCAATTGAATATTTTACCAGTTCTTCTTAATTGAATCTGTATTGTGTAACTGGACAGTAGTAAAATGTGTTAATACAAAAAAATGACATCCATAAACAGCTAAAATGTCCTACATGAATACATGATTTCTGATTTGATTTGATATTTAACATGAGAAATTGTCATATGTAATTACATATGTACGACATATTTGTAACTATTATTGTAATTTTGTAAAATATATCCAAAAGGCTCGGTGTGCTGAGAGTAGAGCGAGGCGGTACTTCACTGCGGACCAGAGACTTCTCTTGTATAAGTCGCAAGTTCGGCCGCACATGGAGTGCTGCTCTCATCTTTGGGCAGGAGCACCAGGATACCAGCTCGGTCCTTTTGACTCGGTTCAAAGACGTGCTATGAGAATTGTCGATGATCCCAATATCTCTAACGGTATCGAACCACTTAGCTTGAGGGGAGACTTCGCATCGCTTTGTGTGTTCTACCGAATATACAACGGACTGTGTTCTGATGAATTGTTTGACATGATGCCTATGGCTACCTTTTACCATCGCACCGCTCGCCATCGACAGGGAATTCATCCCCACACGCTGGTACCTAAGTGGTCTCGGATAGTGCGGTTTCAGAGGAGCTTCCTCCCGCGTACACTTAGATTGTAGAATGAACTACCTGCCGAGGTTTTTTTGAGAGACTACAGCATGTGATTCTTCAATAAGGGTATATTAAAGTTTCTTAAGGGTCGGCAACGCGCATGTGCCACCCCTGGTGTTTCAGGCGTCCATAGGCTACGGTAACCGTTTAGTATCAAGTGGGCCGTATGCTTGTTTGCCACCTAAGTGGTATAAAAAATATCTATATATTACTATTTTTGTACTGTTATGAAATTACCAGTACAAAAAATATAGCTATATATATTTATTACCATAATATTGGCATATAATATTGGTATATAAATATTGGCATATTGTGGCCATAATATTGGTCCGGCCTACCATCGCTCCTTAATTCAGTGTATCAACTATTTAGTTTCGTGTAAGTACAGACAAATTATAGGAAAAGTAAGGGACGGTAACGCATATCACCATTGGTGTTTCAGGCGTCCGAAGGCTACGGTAACCGTTTACCATTGTCAGTGATATGCCGTATACAAGCATACGGCATATCTAATGGTAAACCGTTACTGCCATAAAAAAAGAAATTTAATTTATGTGGATAATTTTGTATGATCCTCTTTTTAGGCTAGAATAATGAGGATAATAATCTTATTTAAATTAAGTGAAGAAATTAAATTATCTTTAGGAATAAAAATACATGTCTTTATTGTAACGTTTAGGAAAATATTTTATTTAAAATCTATTAATAATACAACAAACTTAGTGAATACCATATTTAGGACTGCATGCGCAGTTTCCAGCAGCAAAAATCAAGCCCCCTGCTGGAATATCACCACTGAACTCTACAAATCCAATAACTGGTAACTGGCCATTAATAATAGTTGTGCCAGACACTGGAAGTGCACCGCCGATGTTTACAACACCATTTCCAGTACCACCAAACGCTGCACCGGCTGGTAAGTTTACACTATTTGCAAAACCTACTTCGGTAATGCCAATATTATTAATTCCTTCTAGTCCTAAAGCATTTGCTTCCGCGATTCCAATGCTGCCAATTCCAACATTGGTCCCAAAGGTTTCAGCAATTCCAACATTACCAAGTCCAACGTTGGCACCAATTCTTCCTAATTCGAGTCCAGTTAGTGGTGGAGCATTGATTTCAGCCGCTCCTAAACCAGAAATTATTCCAGTATTTCCAAATCCAACTCTTGCTAAATCAAGTCCACTAAATGTTGCAGCGTTGACTTCTGTTGCGCCAAAGTTTGCAGCACTAAGACCAATATTACCATATTGGTTAATACCACGGTCTAGAATGGCTGCATTTGTACCATGAAATACATTCTGAAATAATTCACATTCTATTAATTGTGGTTTATTTATTTTAATTACATTTATGGTATTGGTTAAACACATTTATTGAGCAATACCTATCACTCATTAAATGGCAACCGTTTATGGCATTACTTGTTCATAGACATAGACACCTAAATAAGTAAATAATGTTTAACAGATGGACTTTAAGAAAAAAAACTCTTGAGTTTCCTACCAGTTCTTCTCTTTCGAAACTGTAGCATGAACTTGACTGTAGGTGAAAAGGTAATACAAAAAATAGCACCCTTATAAAGTTGAGAAGGGATCACAGTTCATGTACATAAGTGTTACTCACTATCTCTCTATTAAGTGGACCCTCAAGTAAATTGCCATTTATCTGGAATGGCAAAAAACTGGCGGTTCCTCTTTTAGTATGGCAACTGTCGCCTATGTACATTGAAATTGATGCCTGAGTAAAGGGGCTCCTACGAGGCCGTAACGAGCAGTCTGCAATGTTATACCTTCGTACCCTTTAATTTCACTGCCTTATCTCTATAACCGAAACACAGCTTACAAAGAAGCTGCTTTGCGCCTGGCTAATATTAGTAACAGGTACCTACATTGCAGACTTTGTACGAAAGTTTACATTTGGTAAATTATAGAAAAAAATTACCTGTATAACAAATGCTTGGAGACAGAGTAGAAAGAAGGTGTAGAGCGACATTTTGTGCGTGTTTTAGATTGACACTGAATACGCATCAACATATATTACATTTATATATATAGAAAAAACTATAATTTTGTAATTGATTGGGCATTACATTTGGGTAATATAACGACATTGCATAATTACGCATTTTGTATGTATTTGTAATTGATTGAAATTTTGTATTGTTGTGTAAATAATAATCAAGTTGATACATTATTATGTATATAAGTTTTTTTTCGGACTACACTAATGTTGGCCGCAGTTGGCCTTTCCAGCTTCACCGGATGATAGGGGGCGAGTGCAGATGGCACTCCACACCCGCGGAAGGACTTATGGAGAGGCTGAAGGTCAACTCCCGCCTAACGGGTACAACTTTAGCCTGAGGGCACCCCTAGGGGTTCGAACCTCGGCTCAAGACGTCGTAATTTCGATCCCCGTTTGAATCGGATGGGGGATCGATGGGTGGGGACGTACATAAGTGTATGTAATTATTAATATTGGGCATCATATATTTATAATGTTGGGCATCATATTGGAGTACTATACAAACATGTAACAAGATTGCATAATTACGCATTTTACATGTATTTGTAAATATTGTTACGTAAATAATAATGAAATTGATACATTATTATGTAAAACTGTAACTATTAATCTTATATATAAAATTGTCGTATTACAATGTGATTTACCGTACTCCTCCGAATCGGCTTGACCGATTTTAAAGATATTTTATATACATATTCAGTAGGTCTGAGAATCGGCTTCTACTTCTAGTTTTCATACCACTACGTGGGTTGTTCACCCCTAACATTGTTTTTATTAGGGCCCGCGAAAGACTTCAATCAATGAGTAATTGATTGATTGAAGTCTTTCGCGGGCCTTTATGGATTGTGATTGATTGATTGCAGTTTAATCAATCAATGATTGATTGCATGTTCATCACCGGTCTTTAGAAAGAACAAGCTCTTTTCTTGAAGGTTTCATATCATATCGTATCCGTTCGAAGACACCATTTCTGGAAGATGATTCCACAATGTGGTAGTAAGTGGCAAAAATATCTTGACAAATGCACGGTAGAGGACCTATATATTTATTATATTTCACTTTATATTACTGACTTATTGTCCGGCGATGGAAACTCATGTAATAACGATAACAAAGGAAATTAATCCGAGAGACATTCATAAGTTTCGCATACGTGATCATAGGCAGGCGGTTTGTTTATCATGCAATTACATAAAATGATGTCTATTTTGTAAACTGTGATATGAACCAAATAAATATTATTATTTTTTTTTCTATATTGATACAATTACAAATATTCGATAATATTGTGACTCAATGGTAGATATATGTTGGAGAAAGAATTAGGTTATCTAGCAATAACATAACTCAATGTACAGTATTATTATTAGTCACGTGCAAATGCTTTTTTAAAAATGTTTATCAAAATATAATGAAAGTTATTCGAGTGTATATATATTGAAACAAATATTTTGAACTGTAAACAAAGATTTCGGAACATTATTAGCAATAAATCAAAAATGAAACTAAAAGAAAAAAATAAAACAAAATGGCGGCAATATATAATTTTTTAGTAGTATGAAATAATATTACCTGTTGCTGTTGCTGATGTTACTAGGGGCTCTATTTATATTCAGGTTTGTTGTCTATATAGGTATTTTATTATAATAAAAAAAGTAAATTGCACAACTGTAAAATTTGTTGAACAGCACAACAAATAATTAATATGTTTGCAGAAGAAGCCATTTTTGTAGTTTTTTATTTTCCCGCGCAAACGTAATGCGCCACAGATGCACAATATTGCACGCGCAGCCGCAGTAGGATGACGAGTGCGTCATAGCTGTATGCGTGATGTTGATACTATGAGTATTAACGGTAGCAATCATCAGTATTTTTAGATGTCTTCTTCTTCTTGCTTTTTAAAGTAATTTCTTATACTGATATTTAATTTTATTTATTGACATGTAGTTACTTTGTTTTTAATTCTACATAAAATCAATGTTAGTTATCGATTTTATTACTTCTAAAATCTATTAATTAATAACAGATTGCATTAGCAGATGGCCCTCCAAACCCTCAGAAGGACTTAAGGAGCGGCTGAAGGTCAACTGTCGCCTGACGGATACGACTTTAGTGGAAGGGTACCGCGTGGGGTTTGAACCTCGGCTCAGGCCGTTGTAATTTCGATCCTTGTTTGAATTGGATAGAGGATAAATCGGAGGGGAATACATTACTACCAATGTATGTATCGAAATCTTAATATTCATCGTTTGCCGTGTTTATATCTTTTATATAAATTTTTATCTTATATATAAAATTCTCGTTTTACAATGTTAGTTACCAAACTCCTCCGAAACGGTTTGAGATATTTTTATGAAATTTTACATGCATATTCAGTAGGTTTGAGAATCGGTTGCTATCTGTTTTTCATACCCTATATACTGATAAGGGTTGTCCACCTCTAACAAGATTTTTAAGTATTCGTACAAGTTTTTTATTTTTTTAAACAATATATTTGTAATAATATACATATACAGACCTAAATTTTCACCTTAAGGTACTAGACAATTGATATAAATACGTCGATATTTTTTTATATACATAGTGTGTGTACCTATGTATATTACCGAAGTTTTCAAACATATATCTTATATCGTAATACCAAATTTCTTTTTCATGGGGACATCTCTTAGCGTAACCTTCGTCTGTCTAGGAATTTACTTCTCCACGTTCCTGCTCATCGTACGAGTTTCATTTCGAAATCTTTCACTTTATAGGCCATTAACAACTGGAATGAGTTACCCCTTTTTTTATTGGGTTGTTTGGGTTATTGTCAGATACCTGAACCTGTAGCACTGCGACCTACATAGATCTATTGTGCTCGCCCATTTTCAAAGTTCGCTACCTAGTCCGTCAGGGACAAGAATTTAAGGATAAAAAGAGTTACCCCTTAACATTGAATCCAGCTCTTCAAAATTCACATTCAAATCCAAATTACGCAAACACCTTTCCCAGAACTAGTGTAGGCTTCTGTTATCCCTGTAGAGTTATTCCTACACACCTCTTCCTTTATGCATCTGAATTTCTCTGTTGATTTGTATAAAGTTATTTTTTTTATACCACTTAGGTGGCAAACAAGCATACGGCCCATCTGATGGTAAACGGTTACTGTAGCCTATGGACGCCTGAAACACCAGGAGTGTCACATACGCCTTGCCGACCCTTAAGAATGTATGTGTATTTGTATGTATGTATACATACACGTACACACATACAATTACAATTAGAAGTTATATTTTTATAACTGTGCAGATTTTTAAAAATAAATTGAATAAAATACTCCTTCTCAATCAGAAAATTGTTCTGTGATGTGTCTGCACTCCAAATGCAGGCTAATGCAAAGTGTCAGCCTACTAGTGTCACCAGAACTTTGTTTATTTTATGTTTCAGTGTGTAGTTATGTTGTATGGTAGTATGTCGTAAATGTTTACTCTGTGTTATTCGCCTATATCTATGTATGTATGTGTATTATTATTTTATTATATTTATTATCTATGAAGATATCCGCAGAATACCAGCGTCGTGGCACCCCGTCACGACATATGCTGAGCGGAGACCTATTTGGTACTATAAAATTAATATAGACCGATAAAATGTAAATTAAAATTTAAAAATTATTTTCAGTATTGCTATGTATCAAATAAACAATTTGCTTTCTTTCTTTCTATTATTTCTTTATATATTTATATATGTGTAATTATTTATCAATATTATGTATTATAGTTTATAAGTATGTTCGCATATGTATTTATATTTAATCATATTAAAGTTATCTTCTTTTTATTGTTTTTTAGATTTGAATTTCAAATTTTGTTAATGCACCGCTACATGAATCTCTGTTTGCCCAATGGTTAACTGGGAGAAAATATCTCAAGGTGTTAAGTCCGTTATATGCACCTTTATTTATGTATTTGTGCATTAAAGTTTTAATAAATAAATAAATATCTACACTATACTGGGGTTTTATGATCTTATATAGATCAGAAAATAATAATGACAATAATTATCTCAGAATCAAATTTATTTAGAAATCAACCGAGTTATTTATTTTTTTAGAACACTCCTAGGCCGAGTCCACCAAGAGCTGGTGCTGCAATAGGAGCGAAACTTTCCTTGATGATGCCAATGTTGCCGGCGGTACCGCAGCCGCATCCAGCAGCGCCCGCGCCTTCAGACGCCAGCGCACCTTCAAATGCCACAGCACTCAAGAACGGCAGCTGTCCAACGACCGCCAATGGTCCTTCGATAGTATTCTGTGACACCACAGTGATTCCAGCTGGAGCGATGGGAGAGAAGCTGCTGATGGGCAGAACATCGCCGGTAGAGAATGACGTGATATCCAGGAATGCAGTGGTGGGAGCAGGCAATAAAGTGTTACCGATTACAGCAGAGTTAGCTAAACCAGTGCTGATGACCCCAGTATTAGCCAAGCCGAGTCCAGATCCAATTAGGCCAGTATTGGCCAAACCAACTCCCGGAGCAATCAATCCAAGACCAGCATTGTTGGTAACAGCGACGGAACTTTCTGCCGCCGCACTTGCACTAGAGACACCTCCTGATCGGTACCAGTTGTTACCATTGATCACTTGGCCAAGCGCCGACTGAAAAGACAATATTTATGTAGTTATTTAAATACATAATACGCAGAAACGAACGAGAAAAAAAGAAAGAGTATCCTGCTACCGAATCTGTTTACTACTTCAGGCAATCTGCGATCTAAATTTTCGGTATACGGCTGAACTTATAAAAATAATAAAATAACCCTGGACAATTGACAGAGTGCTATGAAAATATTTGTATTCATGAGTAAGATTGTTTGTATGGGTCTGGTTGTTTGCTATTTATATATTTATATAAAATGTATTTCAAATTATTATTGAATGTATGTTTTTTATCAGGTTTCAGTGCAAAGCTAAGCATATCTTGTGGTAGTCCACAAACTCTACTTAGCTTTAGACTAGATGGCGATGTGAATTTTCCTGGGTTATCATAGCATTAATTATTTCTAAAAGAATTTAGCACACAGAAGTTAGTAGATTGTTATTGGATATTCCAAATTTTTGGCAGTTTACAATATGGCTCGCAAATTAAAGTTATAAATACAAATTAATAAGTTATTTCAATATTTATATGTTAAATTCTACTTGGTATCCATTATAAATAAATCATCATTTTTCATTATAATGAAATGAATTATCATAAGTATTTTTTGTATTACCTGGATCAGAAGTATTTGAGCACAGAGAAGAGTAGTCTTAACTGCCATTGCTGTTGTTATTTGATGTACAGTTCACAGGTAACTATGATTTTGACAGCGACTCCAGCGTTTTTATATAAATTTGTAATCGTTTCATTATGGCATAGCATTAATAACATATATTTATTATCGACGTAAGTTTAAACACGTGCCAGTACTACAGTTTTAAAATTCTCGCGATAATTGTTTTGGTTCTTTCCTAATGTATGATAAACTTTATTGGTAAATTCCTAAGTGGATGATCAGCTTCAATTTATATAAAAAGCCACATCGAATATTCGAGATCATTCTGGAATCTGTCTTCCATTGAGCCAACATGTCCAACTTTGCTTTCTTGTTGCTTTGCATCCAGGCGTGCCTTATCCAGGTAATATTTTTTTTATTTTAAACTACATAGAATCATAGAAATTTCTAGTTTCGTTTTGGCGTAGTTTTTAGATTTTTTTAAGTAGAATATATTAAGGATTCTTAGGGCCCTCCAGGACACTGCAAATTGTATAAACATATGCCAAATCTAGGCCTGTACATAACAAAAATCTGCAGATTTTGCCAAACTGAAAAGGAAACGCCACTGCACATCCTATGTGGTTGTAGCCAATTCATGCATAAACGTAATATCTCCTTTGGAAAATTTACACTCTATCGTGAGGAGATAAAAATCATCGCTCTTTAGAATATCCTCCAATTCTTTATTTACAATCAAAGATTGCCATTTTTCATTAGTTGAACTGTTAATTTCTTCGCCATTCCAGTTATACACTTAAAAGATAATTAATACTTGGGTTCCTTCTAGTTTAGTTTTTTTTTTCAAAATTACTTGCTTGATAATCAGATTAGGTTGAGATACTTTATTATATAAAAAAAATGTTTGCGCTAACTAGGTTGTCATTTCGTATCGCACTAAATAATGTGTCTGTTCTTTTCAGAATGCATTCAGCCAGTACCTGCCTTATGGAAGACTGGGCGGAGTTGTAGTAGAAGAGGCAACTGCAGTTGAAGTTGAAGTTGAAACTGTGGAAGTAGACCGTGTTGCTTACCCAGGATATGGATGGGGCGCTGGGTATGGAGCGGGCTTGGGAGCCGCCGGTCTAGGCTTCGCCAGTGCTAATGCTGCTGCTGCTGCCAATCTTGGAGGAATTGGTCTTGGAGCCGCTGGTCTGGGTATCGCTGGTGCCAATGTTGGAGTAAACGGACTCGCCATCCCTAACACCGGCTACGGTGGTGATGGTAACGGTCTGATCCTTGTCAAAGGTGACCTGCCAGTCGTTGGTACAACCATCGTGTCTGGACAAGTACCAGTGGTCGGCGCTGTGCAGTTCAGCGGCAACCTGCCAGCGGCAGGATCAGTTGTCATCTCTGGAAACTGTGCATGCGGAGGTCGTGGCCCCATACTTTACTAAATGACTTCAGCGATTTTGTGGAATAAATGATCAAACGACATTAAAAGTGTTGCATTTTTGTATTATGAACCTGCTAAAGAAATTCGGTCCATCTGGTGAAAAATAGTAAATAGTAATAACGTACATATGTATTTTTATATCTTTTAGTAAATACATCTTACTAATAATAGTAAGATGTATTTACTAGAAGAAAATACATCTTACGATAAAAAATTCTATTAAACAATTTTTTTTTCTTTTTCTAACCATTCGCCTAATACTCTCACGCTTTCACAATTGAATAGGGCGATATAGGTCGCCCTAATAACGACATAGGGTCTGCCCTACACCCTCTACAGGGTCAGAAAACCGCCGCCGGCGTCTCTGTAGGTCTTTTGAAGATATTCTACACGACAAAAAATATAGGTTAGCCTGGATGCCATGCCTTTTGAATTATTTTTACACGATAAATATGGTAAACCTGAGCACCATCCACTTTCGCATTATATAATATATCTGTCTCGTCGGTAATCGTTTAGAGTGAGTCATAATTCGTATAGGTTTTATTCAATAAGTTTTTAATACTTTTTTCGAATTCATTTAACGGCAGATCTTAGATCAAAGTATCATTTGGTATCATATGTTATAATTTATTGCCTATTTTCATTAAAGACCTATTAACTTTGTCTAATCTCAGATCTAATTATTAGATGTAAAGTAGACGAGAGAGATATATCATATAATGCGAAAGTGGACGGATGGCAGATATTGATAACTTTAGATGGATAGAGACCCAGGCTAACCATTTAAGCTATCGTCCCCCCGAGAGCTAGATCTAGAGCTATCGCCGGAATCGCGATGTCGCATTATACAGCACGAAAATATCGTTTCGTTTATCGTTTATTTGTTTGTTACTACACACAACAGGTTCATAAGAATAGACAATACATAGTACGACATAAGATTTATAAAATTGTGTTATTATGATGAAATAGGCCTTAGCTTAACATCAATCCGCAGATTTTGCCAAGCAGAAGAAGAAACGCTTCTACACACCCTATGTGGTTGTAGCCCACTAAAGCATAAACAAAATATCTCCTTTGTAAAATATACACTATAACCTGTGGAGATAAAAACTACCGCTCCTAAGAATATCCTTCAATTCTTGTCGCTCACGGGTAGGTAGCGAACTTTGAATAAGGGCTAATACAATAGATCTCGAAGGTCAAGGTCATACAGGTCGAAGTGTTACAGGTTAGCACCTGACAATTCCCCAAACCCTCCAATAAAGAAAGCATTATACTGTGACTTCGGCGGCGTTGCAGCATTGGGCCGCTCTATACATGGTGTAGGGCAGACCCTGCCTTGTTGCTAGTGTGACCTATTTCGCGCTACTCAATTGTCGAATATCACACGCTTCCGGCACCATTTAGTTAGGACGCCACCTCAAAGAACCAGGTTAGCCTACCATGGTCATATTAATTGTTTGATTAAGAGAACAGGACTAAGTGTCGAATTTTAGAAATAGAAATAATCTTTATTCAAATAAACTCATTACAAGCACTTTTGATTAGTCATATTTTGATTCTACCACTCATTCGGAAAGCAGATTCATCACAAGAAGAATGAGCAAGAAACTTGTGTGTTGCTCTTTTTAATAGATGTTTTTTTATATAAATAATTACAGTATAACAAGTAAGAGGCACGCGATAATCAACATAGAAATCGCTACGCACTCATTATTAGTGTAATCAGATAATATTGTCAGTGCTATGGATTTTAAGTTTTTCTATAAAAACATTATTGTCGTTAACGAATTATGAATGTGAATGATATAAGAATTGTGGGAGAAATAGCTGGAAATGACGCTCCTTTCTCTCTGGCTACCCTAAAGCAGCTAAAGATAATAAATATAATATAATATAAACTATAAACATAATAATATAAAATATTATTAATCTAATTATACATATTGGTGTTCCAGGTTTCGCTCTAAATAGATGACAATAATTAGGCGAACAGTTGTAAAAAGCCCAAATAAAAGGTATTTACAATTTGGGAATTTGTACGAATGTATGATGTATTTAGTAAAGGATATAAAAATATGTATGAATCGACAGAGATATGATATGATGAGATATGATTTCAACCCATTACAGATACTTTAATTTATTTATTATTATTTACTATTTTTCACGAGGCGGACCGAATTTCTTTAACAGGTTCATAATAAAAAGTGTTAATATTATTTATGTAGTTTCATCATTTATTCCACAAAATAGCTGAAGTCATTTAGTAAAGTATGGGGCCACGACCTCCGCAGGCACAGTTTCCAGAGATGACAACTGATCCTGCAGCTGGCAGGTTGCCGCTGAACTGCACAGCGCCGACCACTGGTACTTGTCCAGACACGATGGTTGTACCAACGACTGGCAGGTCACCTTTGACAAGGATCAGACCGTTACCATCACCACCGTAGCCGGTGTTAGGGATGGCGAGTCCGTTTACTCCAACATTGGCACCAGCGATACCCAGACCAGCAGCTCCAAGACCAATTCCTCCAAGATTGGCAGCAGCAGCAGCATTAGCACTGGCGAAGCCTAGACCGGCGGCTCCCAAGCCGGCTCCATACCCAGCGCCCCATCCATATCCTGGGTAAGCAACACGGTCTACTTCCACAGTTTCAACTTCAACTTCAACTGCAGTTGCCTCTTCTACTACAACTCCGCCCAGTCTTCCATAAGGCAGGTACTGGCTGAATGCATTCTGAAAAGAGCAGACGCATTATTTAGTGCGATACGAAATGACAACCTAGTTAGCGCAAATATTTTTTTTATATGATCTCAACCTAATCTGATTATCATGCAAGTAATTTTGAAAAAAAAACTAAACTAGAAGGAACCCAAGTATTAATTATCTTTTAAGTGTATAACTGAAATAACATAATTTTCCTGATATTTCCAATTTGTTTTGAAACAAATTTCCATATTTTGATGAAATTTTTATTTGACTAAGTCTAAAGTTACATGCTGTTAAATAAGAAAAAACTTTCCAAATCTGTTTGGAAATAGCGTATTGAAAACTGTCATTTGCGCACAGTTTGAAGTAGGTTTAAGTAAAATTATTTGATATTTACCTGAATAAGGCAGGCCTGGATGCAAAGCAACAAAGTAGTAAACGTGGACATGTTTCTTTCTATTCAATGGAACACTGATCCTAGAATGAATTACAAATTCCTAATTTGAAACTTATATAGTGTATGCGTTCTGAATTCAATAAAACATATGTATATTCTAATGTAATATATCAAATACTATGTTGTAATTGTTATATATATTAACAAATAACAACAATAACCTATAATTGAAACGGTAACTTTCGTACGTGATGTTAAAAATGTTGATAAAAATATGTGTCACTATTTACTAGTATTTTGATTACAAATTTGTATAAAAACACACGGGTTAATTGTTAATTTATCATTAAGTGAACAACTTAGAAAAATGGCAGTCAAAACTATTGTACTCTGCGCTCAAGTCCTCTTGATACAGGTAATAAAATATTCTGTCATAGTAAGGAATATAACATTTTTCGTCGGTCTCAGTAGTTTAGCGGTATATCACACCGCGTTACTTTGGATGATCGTGGGTTCATTTCCTCACATAGAAGCATCAGATTTTGAATAACCTGGGTGTTTGCTGTATATTTATAAAATAATGTATTTAAGTACATAACACAACACAAATTCTACTTATCTTGGATTAGATGACGCTCTGCGAATTGTCTAGAGTTATTATTATAAATCCGTATGAACACTTCTGACGAAAATCTAGATAGCAAATGGTCAAAAATATTCGGTCGCAGGCTCGATTCTCTTTGTTTCTTCCTCGTTAGTTTTCAAATTCAAATTGAAATTCTCTATTTTTGAAGTACAGGTAACAAAGGGTATTAGAATAAATATCATATTTCACTGTTTTCTGTAATTATTCGTACAAATATGTGACCTAATTACAATGTTTTTACTGTAATGTTTCAAGATTTTTTAAAGAATTTTAGTTTCTGCGTTTTATGTATTTAACTAACTTAATATTGTCTTTTCAGTCGGCGCTTGGCCAAGTGATCAATGGTAACAACTGGTACCGATCAGGAGGTGTCTCTAGTGCAAGTGCGGCGGCAGAAAGTTCCGTCGCTGTTACCAACAATGCTGGTCTTGGATTGATTGCTCCGGGAGTTGGTTTGGCCAATACTGGCCTGATTGGATCTAGACTTGGTTTGGCCAATACTGGTGTCATCAGCACTGGTTTAGCCAACTCTGCTGTAATCGGTAACACTTTACTGCCTGCTCCCAACGCTGGATTCCTAGACATCGCGTCATTCTCTACCAGCGGTACTCTCCCCATCAACAGCTTCTCTCCTATCGCTCCAGCTGGAATCAGTGTGGTGTCACAGAATACTATCGAAGGACCATTGGCGGTCATTGGACAGCTGCCGTTCTTGAGCGCTGTGGCACTTGACGGTACTTTTGCCACCGAAGGCGCGGGCACTGCTGGATGCGGCTGCGGTACCGTCGGCAACATTGGCATCATCGAGGAGACTTTCGCACCTATTGCACCACCAGCTATTGGTGGAATTGGCCTTGGAGCTGGACTCGGCCGAGTATTGTACTAAAATATCAACCTCACCTTTCAATAAATAAATAAGCTTCTGATATCATGATGACCTGGTTTAATTTCTTGAAAATTACTACTTCTGTGTTGTTAATACTCATTAGTAATAATAATAATAAATACTCTACTCTCTACTCTATTTCTATGTTGACTATCGCATGCCTCTTACTTGTTACATTGTAATTATTTATATAAAAAAAACATCTATTAAAAAGAGCAACACACAAGTTTCTTGCTCATTCTTCTTGTGATGAATCTGCATTCCGAATGAGTGGTAGAATCAAAATATGACTATTCAAAAGTGCTTGTAATGAGTTTATTTGAATAAATATTATTTCTATTTCTATTTCTACA